ACAGTAGAGAACCACTTAGGGTCACTTCAAGCAAAGACTCCAGGACTGAGCCCTGCAAGAGGCTGTGTGTCCACACATAAGAATACAGGACTAGCAAGAACACGGGATTCTGCACTGCAGTCTACAGCATTCAGCCACAAACCATTTGGACTTGTGTTTTTCAGGGAAAAACTTGCCCAAGCCGAATAGTCTGTTACCAGTTTCCATTTCCCCCCCTCTCTCCTTGTTCCCTTCAGAAAAATGTTGTTTGAAGTCGGGCTGGTGGAGTTGAACCAGATTTGGTGTAGACACTCCTGCCACACTGAACAGGGATCTGCACGTCCACAGGCTTGTCACGTATTCAGGCACCACTGCTTTCAGCTTCTCCAGCCACAGCGCTCTTTGAGTTCCTATCCCAGAGTCGTACGCAGTGAGATTTTGAAAGATTACACATGCATCAAAGATGGAGAAAAGAAACAGTGAGAAGACTTGCTGAGCCATTCGAGTCAGTCTGCATCTATGCTAGCATTCAAATGTCTGAGGATGGAAGACAGCACTTAGCCTGGCTAAGCCTGGCTAACTGTATTCAAGTACTTCTTCAAGCTCTTTTACTCACCCCTCTTCTCCCTCTCTTCCACACCCAGAGTTTCCTGCTTTTGCTTCTCCTGATCCTCTCTCAAGAGCAAGGGAAAAAACAGAGACCAGGGCTGTCAGTACACAGAGCTATGTCTAACCCTCCTCTGTGATAGCAATTCACACCCTCCCTCTTCCTGTTTTGCCCATTCCTCAGGAGGTATCACTGTTCCTTGTACCAACGCTACCAGTCCAACCCCATCCCCTACTTCCAACACTTACATTTCAGTCCTAGTCGTCTTGGCCAACCTTACCTATGTTTTTCTTTTAGGTTTTCAGGAATCAGCTCATCTGGAGTCCAAAGATCCTGTAAGAACAAATGCAGATGGTTCAGTACACAACAAACTTCTCCCACAATGGATCCTGTCAAACAGCCAGTTCCTTGTCCTGCTTCTCCGGTGAGTATCAGACCAATGGTTCTGGCCTGCTTCTGATGACAGCTGGATTGGGCTAATGCAGATGGTTACAGCAGCAATTTCAAACTAACATCAGTCCCAGAGCAGCAGAAAGGCCCTAAAGATCCACCTCATAAGGACCTGGGGGTCCTTCTCATCAGCATCTGATCTTTTCTGGATCACGTGCTACTGAAGTGAATTCTGGCAACTGTCTTGGTGAAATCAGGGCAGGAAGATTAAGATTATACTGTTACTTACAGGGTCATTAAATCTTCCTCCTAGATGCTCCACTGCATAATAAATCAACTTCTTCTCCATCAAAGATCTCTGCACATAACGTTGGATACTCTAAGGAGGCAAAGAGGTTGTCAAACCACCACCCCACAAAAGACAACCCCACCCCTGTCCAGGGCAGAAACCCGCCCCAACACACTGCTGTGCACTATGAACACCCAGTTCTGTCCTGAAGGGACCCTGCCTGTTACAGACTATAAGTAAACTCAGGCTCCAGTTTCGTCAGTCCTGGGCTGGGCACACATCTGCAGTGAAACACATTTCCCTTTTTGTCTCCTGGACTGCGATCCTGTCGCACGGGACAGGCGAGGGCCAAAAGGTACAGACCCGGGGTTGTAACTACCTCTCTGGCTGTGACAGCTGTGTCCTCTCCCAGTTCTGTGCGATACTGCTTCATTTTCTCCAACATTGGCTCATCCGCGGGATAGAAGAGCAAGTAGGAAGTAGCACACTCAGCAGCCAGTGCCTGGTTCCCCACTTGGGCAGGGACAGAACAGAACAAACAGATATGTCTCTGAAAGACTCGACATTAGCAGCAAACATGTATAGGCTAGCAGCACCCAAAGCCCTGGTCGGATCTGGCAGTTGGAGGCCTTACACTGAGTACACATCAATCCCTGCCTTGTTGGGCCTCTGCCCAATGATGGGCAGAGAATACACGGAATGAACCTGGTGAGCACTTGTAGATATGGTTTAGTGGGCATGGTGGTATTAGGTCAACAGTTGGACTTGATGATCTTAGAGGTCTATTCCAACCTATTGACTCTACAATTCTATAAGAATGGGTGCACTTCCAATACTCACTGGGAGCTTGTTCAGAGGAGACAGATTAAAAATAAGTATATATCTGGAAGAAAGATGGTTCCACCTCTCTCACCAAATAGACATGATGAGGGGCCTGGAGGCTTCTCTGAGATACAAGTTTTATCAATGGTCTGACAGAGCAGATGAGAGACAGTTGGGTCAGTGTGGGAAGGAGAAGACATATCCAAGAGAAGAGCTGAGGGACGTGTGAAAGCAATAGGGTGACAGGATGACCAATGTCATGACAAGCCATCAGTTCAGCGAGGGCAGGCAGGGCTGACTCAGAAGGAACACCACTGTTCAGTTGAGATGCAGGCGCACGCACTAGATAAGAAGTGGGGGCCTGGTCTGGAGCCACATACTGAAAAGGAGTTTATAGAATACACAGCAGACAGTTGGAGCAAGGACTTGAAATGGACATTGCCGGAGGAAAGAAGTGGGAACAGTCACACATTACAGAAGCTGCACAAGGAGACTGAAGTGGACCACAAGGGACATTTCCCAAGGTGGCCACAGGCTTGAGCAAGAGAAGAGAGGTTCTGGGAAGAGTCAGGGGGCAGAAGCAGGGAGTGAGAGGTAAAGCTATGGTCAGTGTGTCATTTCTCCCCATGACAGGCTGCTCCCCACGACCAGAGGCAAAGGGCAAGTTTAGGGGTGCCTCAGCATAACCCACTGGGTTGTGGCTCTGCTCACCTTGATCATAGGCAAACTGCAGTAAGTCAAGATGAGAGGGTATGAAATCTTCCGTGGCAGAAATCCGCCCCGGCTTTGTGGCAATTTCAAGGACGCACTGCTGTCTGCACTTCAAAACCTGAATATAATGGGCTGCAAGAGAGAGGAGCAAGAAAGCAACTCACACTTCTTCCAGACAGGAGTGCTGGGTAACAGGGGCATGTCCAGTGTGGGGAGCATGGCCTTCCTACCCAACCCTCTGTGCCTCTAATGTTACCTGCAATGGCTTCATACAGGCCAGGTTGCATCTCCTCCTCCTCCTCCTCCTCCCAAGGCCCTTCGCACAGGGCACGACACTCTTCCAGTGCTGACAGTGCCTCTGTGAGTGACTCCTCCAGCCTGGCCACAGCCTGCAGGTACTCATCTGCGCTGTAGTGCTGCACCCCAGCCTCATATGCTTCCTGTGAAGGACAGGTTCCCTCATCAGTGTGGGTGACACCAAAGGATGCCCTGAGACTTCGAGTCGCTCACAGGGTAGTGCTGACACCTAGGGGCCTGCCTGATCATGCGCAGCCCACCAAGCAGTGACAGCAAATCTGGTTGTAAGCCAAATATGCTTCTCCATGGCCCTGAAGCCTGCCATAACTGTCACCAGAAAGTCTGTGTCACGTTTGCAATGCTTTGCCTTCAGCCTGAACAGAAGTCTTCAGGAAGACCTTCTTGCAGCCTTCCAAATATGAAGGTGGCTTATAAGAAAGACTGAGTGAGACTTTTGACCAAGGCCTGTAGCGACAGGACAAGGGGCAATGGTTTTAAACTGAAAGAGCGTAGATTTAGATTGGAGATAAGGAAGACATTTGTTATGATGAGGGTGGTGAAACACTGGAGCAGGATGCCCAGAGAAGTTGTGGATGCCGAGTCATTGGAAGTGTTCAAGGCCAGGTCGGATGGGGCTTTGAGCAACTTGGTCTAGTGAAAGATGTCCCTGCCCACAGCAGGGGTTTGGACTAGGTGAGGTTTAAAAGACCCTTCCAAGCCAAATCTTTCTATATGAGGGTTCTGCCTCAAGCCACAGCTCTTGCGTGGGAACAGATCAGGGTCCCAGACTGGTCCCTGGGATGGGATAAGAGCTGCTACCACCTGGCTCTGCATCAAACCCTCACCCAGTGTGGCGTCGCCTCCAGGTCCCGGAAGTTGTCCGACTTCACCCCTGACATACGCCGGTACTTCTCTATGTCCTCCCGCATTTGGAGGTGCTGGGGATTAGCGACGAAGAAGGTGTGAGCAGCAGACACGGCCTGATCCAGCTTCTTCAACTGTGGAGAAAAGGCTGTCACATTCTTGCGGGCCCCCTTCTTTTCACGCCCACCCCTCACCCCAGCTGCTTCCCAGATTCACCCACAAGGCACCTGTGCCCCGTGCTGCCCTGACAGCCCATGTCCCAGGCAGGCGAGCCTTTGCCCACCGCCTCCTCAGGACCGGCCGGTGG